TTGGCAGGCTGAACTTCTTCAGCTACCGCAGGAAGTACATCCTGTGCTGGGCCTTCTTGGTGAGGGAGGTGATGTTCAGCTCCCACTTGAGGTCCTGGGAGATGATGGTGCCCAGGAAGCAGGAGTCCACAGTGGTGACTGGGGAGTCACTCAGGATGATGGGGGAGGGTGGGCTGTGCTCTTTCTAAAATTCACAACCATCTCCACTGTCTTCTGAGCGTTGAGCTCCAGACTGTTCTTACTGCACCAGGTCACCAGATGGTCGATCCCCACCAGAGATGAGCCCAATGAGGGTGGTGTCATCTGCAAACTTCAGGAGCTTGACAGACTGGTGACTGGAGGTGCGGCTCTTGGTGTACAGGGAGAAGAGAAGGGGGGAAAGAACGCAGCCTTGAGGGGAACCGGTGCTGATGGTCCTGAAATCAAAGATCATGTTTTCCCAGCTTCACATGCTGCTTCCTGTCCGTCAGGAAGTCAGTGATCCACTTGCAGGTGGAGTCAGGCACGTTCAGCTGGGAGAACTTGTCCTGCAGCAGGGCCGGGATGATGGTGTTGAAAGCAGAGCTGAAATTCACAAACAGGATCCTGGTGTGGGTTCCTGGGGAGTCCAGATGCTGGAGGGCTGAAGCTGAGTGGAGGAGTCTCGGGGGAAGGTGTCCGATTGACTCTCAAAGCGGCAGCAGAATTGGTTCAGCTCATTTGCCAGGCGAGAGTCGTTTATGGAGTGGGGGACTTTGGGTTTATAGTTAGTGATCTGTCTGAACCCCCTCCAGACAGAAGTGGCGTCGTTTGCAGAGATCTGAGTACAGTCTTTTAGCTTCTTGCGCTGCCTTGCTAAACCTGTACTTTAACACCCTGCACCCGGCCCTTTCCCCACTTTAGCTGCGTTTCGACCAAAGGAATTTTACCCCGGAACTAGGAACCTTTGGAGGAACTCACTGCGTTTCCACCAAAGGGACCAGGGTCTAAATGTAGTTCTGGGGTCTTCATTTTACCCTACTCGGGGGATAGTACTTTCCAAAAGTACTGGGTACTTTGGGGGGGCTTGCCTTGCAGTGAATTTCTTAATGGGTGAGTAGAGGCTACTGGCTTTAACTGGAGAATGTCGGGTGATCCTCTCTTTTCCACCGTTGTTTGCAAACCAATAAATCACAATCAGCAGTCAAATAGCCACACATGTCTCCCCCTGTCCGCCTGAGATCAATCGTCGGCATTAAATGTAAAGCAGCCAGCCTGGGTGTGTTTACAGCGAACAGCTGATGGAGTTACTACTGGGTCCAGAGTTGTTATTTAAGTTTTCATCTGTCAGGAAGTTTCAACACAGAACTGAACTCGGTCTCCTCCTCTTCAAAACCAGCTAAACAGCTGATTACAGCAGGTAATAAAGCTCATTAAAATCACTTTCCTCCGACGCTCAGGTGACACAGACATGAGTCCTGCAGCTGATCTGCAGCTCTTGTCACTGGAAATGTTTTAATAACCTTCCAAACTGTCACGATTTTATTTTTGCATTGTTTTATCTGTGCTGGAGTTATTTTAAGAACTTGATGGTTTTATCCAGTTTGTAATCCACACGTCTTGCGGATGTCCACCTGAGATTGTATGTCGGCATTAAATTAGCTGGGAAACAGTAGCCAGCGTTCAGCAGTGTGTTTACAGCGAGCAGCTGATGGAGTTACACTAAATACTGGGTCAGAAGTTGTTGTTTTGAGTTTTCATCAGTCAGGAAGTTTCTACAAGGAGACGAAGTCAGTCTCCTCCTCTCCAAAACAAGCGGACCAGCTGATTACAGCAGGTAATTAAAGCTCATTAAACATCTCGTTCCTCCGATGCAGGCGGACACAGACATGTGCTGCCAGCTGATCTGTATCTCGATGGCTGGAAATGTAATAACCTTCCAAACTGTCGCAATTTTATTTTTGTGCTACTTTATCTGTACTGGAGTTATTTTAAGAACTTTATGGCTTTATCCAGTTTGGTCTTTGTCTCCTCCTTTTCCAACCTTAGCTGTCTGAGTTTGGCTGTAAACCAGGGTTTGTCATTGTTATAGCTCACTCACAGGTGTGTGTTGGTATACAGCTGTCCGCACAGAAACTGATGTAAGACCTCACAGCATCAATAAACTCATTGAGACTATTGGTACCTACAGCTTCACTGGTCCATTTTTTTGATATCCTCACTACATGTTTACAGAGTTTAAATTTTTGCCCATAAACAGGAATCAGGAGTGTCCCAGTGGAGCGTGTGTGACGGCGTGATAGGCACTGCTAACTGTGGTGTAGCAGTGATCTAAAGTGTTCCTCTGTCTGGTTGGACCCTTTTATAAAACTGTTATTTGGGGAGTTCTTGTCGTTGCACGTTGGCGTGCAGTGGAATATAAACACCGACCAGAGTGAATGAAGCAAACTCACGGGGGAGTAAAACGGTTTACAGTTAATGATCCAGATCAGGAGAACAGTGCTGCTGAATCACTGTCACGTTGGTACACCAGCCATTGTTAATATAAAAACAGACACCTCCACCTTTTGTTTTGCCGGATAGCACTGTGTCCGCTCTGTAGAGTTGGAAGCCTGCCAGCTGCAGCGCAGAGTCCGTTATCAGTTCACACTGCCAGGTCTCTGTGAAGCACAGAACAGAAGATGAATAAAAGTCTCTGTTTTTCCCCACCAGAAGCTGAAGTTCGTCCAGTTTGTTGCACAGTGAGAGAAATATTGCCGGTAGCAGTGTGTGGTGTCCCCGCCGGCGAAGACGAACGAGCGAACCAGCACGTTTCCCTCTGCTGCGGCGCTTTACACCCTGAACAATAGCAAGCGAGCTTCATCAAAATTTCCAATAATTCCACTGATAGCACGAGAAAAGTGGGAAATAAATCTGCTGTAGTGTTCCCCTGATGTTCATGAGCTTTTCTCTGGTGAAAGAGCACCAGGAATCACAGCTGAAAACTGAATTAACACACAAGTTTTGTGAGTTGATTTAAATTCTGGACAGAAATCGACTGCAGCCAGAGGCTACCTAGAAGGTTGAGAAAACAAATTGAAAATCTAAAAAGCCATGGCCTTGGAAATACATTGACAGTGATGTAAATTTGTATACATTTGTGGTGCATAAAACACTGACATGGGCCTTCAAATCACTGTCTTTTTAAATGAGCTGAAAAGACATCTTTTCAACTTTCACTTTCAATGAAAGCCAGTAAAATTTTGCCTGTTTCTAGTGCTCACCACTCACATCTATGATCTGTTCAGTGATACGAAAACACATTGACTTTGTTGGCAACAGTGACATCATCTTCATACATAACTAACTAGCTACCTAGCTACATCCATGAAAGGTGTGGACAGAAATGTGACCACAAAAAGGTTAATTGATTCAGAGGAAACGCTGAGTAAAGTTTACTGATCTTGTAATGTTTTCAACATCAACAATTATTTGTTGGGAAACAATGAATCCTGCTACAGTGTTTCCATTCACTCACTGCAAGTTGAGCAATTTCTTGGCCCCACAGAGATCTTCTATGGGTCAATATTTCAAGTGGTCTGTGGACCTCTGGCCACTGAAGCCTCATTGGGGACTATTCAACTCAGCGTTCAGACACCAGTCAGAGTCACTGTCTGTAACCTCCTTCTCAGCCTTGGTCCCTGTGCCACCACTTGCTTCTATTTACATTGAGACAAGAATCGATTCTCTTCACAGCACCATACCCCCTCTCTTCCCCACAGACCTGTCAGGCTAAGTGCTCCCTCCTACAAGAAATGTCATCAGTGTTTACCCAAAGCTCAAAATCTATGGCTGAATACTGCACGTTGCAAACAGTGCTAAAGACCCAAGTGAGCGAATGGTCTCGAAAACCTTGTTATTGTCGCTGCATCATTATGGCGCCACGGAGGGTGGAAAAACGAACCAGAACTGCAGCGTAGAGAACAAAGCACAGGCCTTCGCCCCGAGCTCCACAGAAGTAAATTTTTCACTACGTTATGAAGAGATAAAACAGAGCAATTTGTCTCAGAGGAGGAGATAGAAGCTGGTTAATAGAAGCAGCCAGAGGGAGAGACAGTGAGGGTGTCAAAGGAAGGGAAGTGAGGGGAGATCAAAAGAGAAGAAATGTGTGTGTGTGTGTGTGTGTGTGTAAGAGAGAGAGGGTATATCGTTCCCTGTAATAACTACAGTTTGAATGACTGATTGATGTGTTGTGACCTTTGACCCCTGCAGGACAGCACAGGCATGAAGCTGTGGAAGAAGAGGTGGTTTGTTCTGTCCGACATGTGCCTCTTCTACTACCGTGGTGAGGACACACACACACCCACACATATCCAAATCTGGGATGCAAGCAGTTTCATTAAATATGTTTGTCAAATCAAAAGCAATTCACAGTGAGAGCAGGTGCAGTCCAGGTTTTGTTTAAGGACAATTCAAGAAAACACATTCACTATTTCAAGGACCCTCCCATGTTACACCTGTTATAAGAAACATTATATATATATATAAATGGTAGCTGTGCTTTAATCTTGAGAAGCTGCAGAGCTGCGGTCTGCATTCATTCAACTTACACTGTAAATTTCCAGCTAAACTGAGGCTTTTTGAAGAGCTTTCTCTCTCTCTCTCTCTCTCGCCTGTCATTCACCGGTCTTGTGCAGAGTTTTGTGTGTATTTCATGCTGCCGACAACTGCTTGCACCTTGCGGTTCCTCGGGGGTCTATTTCAAGGTTAAAAAACCTAAAATATTCTTTGTGTGGTTCATCAACATTGATAAATTATCAGAAAGTCCCGCGAGGTGCGGACAACTCGGCACAACACCAGTGAAGCTGGGGGTCGGTCTCTTCAGCAAGTGTTCCTCTTCCGCCACCACACACACGCCACGCCTACACATGTGCACTGATGACCCAGGGTTAGGGTTACAATTTTGGATTTATTCACGCACTTTAAAAACATTTATGGAAAGTTTTATTCTTTTTATATGTTTATTTACAGCATGAAACTTTGAAATGTATATTGTAATAGGTTGTATATTAACTTATCGGGAGAAGTGGTAGTTCTATGTAAAATCAGAAGTTGAGCACCCCCATATCGCCAAAATGGCATGATCCTTGATTTGCTGCGAAGTTTCAACTGTGAGATTGACAGTCGAATCAGGCTCCGCCCATCAAAGCATTGAATCTTCAACTACAGGTGATGGTCATATAATTAGAATATCATCAAAAAGTTGATTATTTCAGTAATTCCATTCAAAAAGTGAAACTGTGTAATGTATACATTCATTCCACAGACTGATATATTTCAAGTGTTCATCCCTTTTAATTTTGATGATTATAACTGACAACTGACACCTGGTGCCACACTCTAATCAGCTAATTAACTCAACCCATTCAAAAATGTGGGGGAGATTCACAAAGAGTGGACTGCAGCTGGAGTCAGTGCTTCAAGAACCACCACGCACAGACGTATGCAAGACATGGGTTTCAGCTGTCACATTCCTTGTGTCAAGCCACTTTTGAACAAGACACAGCGTCAGAAGCGTCTCGCCTGGGCTAAAGACAAAAAGGACTGGACTGCTGCTGAGTGGTCCAAAGTTATGTTCTCTGATGAAAGTAAAATTTGCATTTCCTTTGGAAATCAAGGTCCCAGAGTCTGGAGGAAGAGAGGAGAGGCACAGAATCCATGTTGCTTGAAGTCCAGTGTAAAGTTTCCACAGTCAGTGATGGTTTGGGGTGCCATGTCATCTGCTGTGTTGGTCCGCTGTGTTTTCTGAGGTCCAAGGTCAACGCAGCCGTCTACCAGGAAGTTTTAGAGCCCTTCATGCTTCCTGCTGCTGACCAACTTTATGAGATGCAGATTTCATTTTCCAACAGGACTTGGCTCCTGCACACAGTGCCAAAGCTGCCAGTACCTGGTTTAAGGACCATGGTATCCCTGTTCTTAATTGGCCAGCAAACTGGCCTGACCTTAACCCTATAGAAATCTATGGGGTATTGTAAAGAGGATGCGATACGCCAGACCCAACAACACAGAAGAGCTGAAGGCCACTATCAGAGCAACCTGGGCTCTCATAACACCTGAGCAGTGCCACAGACTGATGGACTCCATGCCATGCCGCATTGCTGCAGTAATTCAGGCAAAAGGAGCCCCAACTAAGTATTGAGTGCTGTACATGCTCATACTTTTCATGTTCATACTTTTCAGTTGGCCAACATTTCTAAAAATCCTTTTTTTGTATTGGTCTTAAGTAATATTCTAATTTTCGGAGATACTGAATTTGGGATTTTCATTAGTTGTCAGTTTTAATCATCACAATTAAATGAAGTAAACATTTGAAATATATCAGTCTGTGTGTAATAAATGAATATAATATCCAAGTTTCACTTTTTGAATGGAATTACTGAAATAAATCAACTTTTTGATGATATTCTAATTATATGACCAGCACCTGTATTTGGGGTCAGCCCTAGTAAGTTTTATTCATCCATCCATTCATCCATCTAGTGGTGAGGGTTGCGAATTGCAACAAACTGCTCATCCCCCCCTCCCCCAGTGAAGTTTACAAAGGCACTTTCAGGTGAGGATCAAGGCTCCTCTCCACTTTGTTTAATTAATTCAATTCAATTCAATTCAATTCAATTCAATTTTATTTATATAGCGCCAAATCACAACAACAGTTATCTCACAGCGCTTTTCATAAAAGAGCAGGTCTAGACCGTACTCTGTGATGATATTTACAGAAGCCCAACAGTTCCCACCAAGAGCAAGCACTAGGCGACAGAGGCAAGGAAAAACTTCCTTTTAAGAGGCAGAAACCTCGAGCAGAACCATGGCTCAGGGTGGGCGGCCATCTGCCTCGACCGGTTGGGGTGAGAGAGAGAGAGAGAGAGAAAGAGAGAGAGAGAGAGAAAGAGAGAGAGAGAGAGAGAGAGGGATGTAAGGAGAGAGAGGGGAGGGAGGCAGCCTACACAATATACACAGAGGTACAGACAGTGAAGGTAATGTTGCTATAAACTAAATGAAAAATGGTACAGATATTTATAATAGTGTTAATGGTAACCATCGTAATGTTAATGATTATAATAACAATAAGACAGCACAACAGTCGTGCAGTAGAGGGTGTCGAGCAGGAACACGGGGCAGCAGGCGACCCGCAGCCACAGATCCAGACTCCACAGCTCCAGAGCCAGAAAACCTGCAGGAAGTGATAGGAGGAGAGAGGAGAGGGACGAGAAAGCACAAGACTACCAGAAAGGGGAGAAGTTGTGTTAGTAACATGCAATAATGGGATAAGGTTGCATACAGAGGGAGAGAAAGTAGAGGAGAGAGGAGCTCAGTGCATCATGGGAAATCCCCCGGCAGTCTAGGCCTATAGCAGCATAACTAAGGGATGGTTCAGGACTACCTGAGCCAGCCCTAACTATAAGCTTTATCAAAGAGGAAAGTCTTAAGCCTACTCTTAAATGTGGAGATGGTGTCTGCCTCCTGAACCCAAACTGGAACCTGGTTCCACAGGAGAGGAGCTTGATAGCTGAACGCTCTGGCTCCTAGTCTACTTTTGGAGACTCTAGGAACCACAAGTAACCCTGCATTCTGGGAGCGCAGTGCTCTGGTGGGGTAGTAAGGTACTATGAGCTCTTTAAGATAAGATGGTGCCTGACCATTAAGAGCTTTGTAGGTAAGAAGAATGATTTTAAATTCTATTCTGGATTTTACTGGAAGCCAATGCAAAGAAGCTAAAACAGGAGAAATGTGATCTCTTTTCCTGGTTCCTGTCAGAACACGTGCTGCAGCATTCTGGATCAGCTGAAGAGTCTTAATGGACTTTTTCGAGCAGCCTGATAATAAGGAATTGCAGTAATCCAGCCTAGAAGTAACAAATGCATGGACTAGTTTTTCTGCATCATTTTTAGACAGGATGTTCCTGATTTTCGCAATATTACGTAGGTGAAAAAAGGCGGTCCTTGAAATTTGCTTAATGTGGACTTAAACGACATGTCCTGATCAAAGATAACTCCAAGATTCCTCACAGTGGTGCTGGAGGCCAAGGCGATGCCATCCAGGGAAACTATATCTTTAGATAATGCGTCACGGAGGTGCTTAGGCCCCAGAACAATAACTTCAGTTTTATCTGAGTTTAACATAGAAAATTACAGCTCATCCAGGTTTTAACATCCTGAAGGCACATTTGAAGTTTAGCTAACTGATGAGTTTCATCTGGCTTGATCGATAGATATAACTGAGTATCATCTGCATAACAATGAAAGCTTATGGAATGTTTCCTGATAATATTGCCTAAAGGAAGCATATATAAAGTGAAGAGGATTGGTCCAAGGACAGATCCTTGAGGAACTCCATGAGTAACTTTGGCGTGCATGGAGGACTCATCGTTAACATGTACAAACTGAAATCGATCTGATAAATAGGACTTAAACCAGCTTAGAGCGGTTCCTTTAATGCCAATGAAATATTCCAGTCTCTGCAATAGGATCTGATGGTCAATGGTATCAAATGCAGCACTAAGATCTAATAAAACCAGTACAGAGACAAGTCCTTTGTCTGATGCAATAAGGAGGTCATTAGTAATTTTCACCAGTGCTGTCTCTGTGCTATGATGAGCTCTAAATCCTGACTGAAAATCCTCAAATAAACTATTGCTCTGTAGAAAGTCACACAGCTGTTTAGCAACTGCTTTCTCCAGAACCTTAGAGAGAAATGGAAGGTTAGATATAGGTCTATAGTTTGATAAAACATCCGGATCAAGTTTGGGCTTTTTCAGAAGAGGTTTAATTACAGCTACTTTAAAGTACTGTGGTACATAGCCTGTTGATAAAGATAGATTGATCATATCTAGTATAGAGGTGCTGACTAAGGGTAAAACATCTTTAAGCAGCCTAGTCGGGATGGGGTCTAAGAGGCAGGTTGATGGTTTAGATGAAGAAATTATTGAAGTTAGTTGGTAAAGATTGAGGGAAGCAAAACAGTCTAAACATGTATCTGGTTCTACAGCTGTTTCTAAGGTTCCTGAGTTAGAGATAAGTCGGTGCCAGTTGAGGGCAGGTCTTGGTGAATTTTGTCTCTAATAGCTAGAATTTTATCATTAAAGAAGCTCATGAAGTCGTAACTACTGAGAGCTATGGGAATACTTGGCTCAATAGAGCTGTGACTCTCTGTCAGCCTGGCTACAGTGCTGAAAAGAAACCTGGGGTTGTTCCTATTTTCCTCTATTAATGACGAGTAGTACGCTGCTCTGGCATTACGGAGGGCCTTCCTATAAGTTTTAAGACTATCTTGCCAAATTAAACGAGA